GTCCCTCTCTGCAAAGACGACCTCTGTTTCCTGCCTCCCGGCGGGGGGGGAGTGCAGGGGCTGGTGCTGGTCTCCCGGGTCACCGCCGTCGTTCAATTCCTCGACCCTTTGACCTTAAAAACGGGGGAAATGACCGCTGCCAAGTATTGGAAAGCTCCTGTCGAGTGCTTGATGCAAAGCGGGGACCTGATCCCCTACGAAGTGCTGGACGTGGAGCTAATACGCCCACGGCGGGGGGAGGGGAAAGGAGGGCGGGACAAGGGACAGAGGGAGGCAGGATACCCGGAGGGAGGGAACGGTCCATCTCGGAAGTGGCAGCTTGCGGAGGTCGAAATCATTAAGTCTTCGGATTTTGGGGTCCGGGACGTGACGCACCGGGCCGTGTCGCACCTGGGTCATCTCCTTGCGGTTGGGGACACTGTGCTGGGCTACGATCTGGGCACTGCCACGGCGCTGGGGGAGAGGGAAGGGGGATGGCGGGGAATGAAACACGAGCCGCCCGACGTGGTGTTGGTGCGGCGGGTGGACGTGGAGAAAAAAGGCGCGAAAAGAGAGAGGAGGCGGTTGCGGCGTTTGCAGGCCCGGCGGGCCCGGCGGGCAGCGGAAAGGGAGGGGAATGGGGAGGGAGCGGGGGCGCGGGGAAGGGATAGGAAGGAGGAAGTGGAAGGGGAGGAAAAAGCGGAGGCGGATTTTTTGGCCTTTGCGGAGGAATTGGAGGAGGACTTAGAGATGCAGGCGTTGATTGCGCGGGAAGAGTCTGCCGCGAGGCAACGCATGGCAATGGAGGAAGAGGGGGAGGGATGGGAAGAGGAGGAGAGGGGCTGGGAGGAGCTGGGAGAAGAAGGGTGGAACGACGGCACGGTGGGCGGAAGAGAGGACGGGCAATAAGGGACAAAAGAAGACCAGAGGAGGAGAAAGCGCCCTGCCTTCATCTTCAGCATGTCTAGGGCTGGAAAACCAAGGGTGTGGGGTTGGTTTGGGCGGAAGAAAGGGGGGATCATGTAAGTGGACACCCCTGCTTGAGCACGGGGATGTACAGGGGCGAAGCGTTGCAACACACTGTAAAGGCTGGTAGCAGACCGTGGGAAGGCGGTGCTCGATCTGCCGAGTCAAGGCGACCAGAGACGCGTACACAAGCGAATTGAAAGCATTCGGGCCAGACATGCGGAGATGCGAGACATCTGTCAAACATCAGGGTTCCTGTTGGACGGTGACACTAACGTGAGCCACATTGTTAGTCTTTTCCAGTCGCTTCTTCGACACTTATGATCGCTCGGCTTGCGTCGCGAGGTTCTTCTTTTCTTCCACTTGCTTTCACTTGTCCTGTTCCCTCCCCTCCTCTCAACTCCTCTCCCTCTTCCTCTCTTTCTATCTCCCTCTCTGCCTCTCCCCCCTCCCGTCCCTCTTCGCCACCACGCACTCCTCCACTCTGATACCCTCTCCTTGCGTCAATTTGCACCCAAAAAAGCAAACCCGCCATTTCCCTCAATTTCTTCCACCGCTTTCCAACAATCAGAGCATGCTTGGCGCCCACGCGGGGCTGTCAGTACTGAGATCAAACACCGAATGCACTTGCGCCGCGCTTGTATAAGAACATGAGAATAGCCACCTGGGGCTGTAAAAATCTTTCTCGTCCACCATTTTTCCTGCCCTCCCCTCCCCTTGCCCCCTGGCCTCCCCCTGGACCCATGCTTGTATGCGCATGGAGGGGGGTTTGCACCCTAGACATTCACGTGTAACTATAGTCATTCGGATGTAATTCTCTGCTGGCGTGACCTAGACATAGAAAAGCAAGTCTTCGATCAGTCCTTCGCATTGATTTGGTACTTGATAATCACTAATTCGTGTACGACGTTACGCTCCCTGCGACAAGCTGTCCCCTGAGTAAGTTGATGGATTTCTTCATCAATACGCGTCAAAGTCAACACAGAAACACGCTTTTGAGAGCGTGAAAGTCTACTTTTGTACGGTAGCTATACCAGCGTATCTGACTGTTGATATTCTCTTTCCCCCCCCAACGCTCATTTTATGCCTCTTACCATGTTCCTAGACATATGAGGTGTCTTAGAAATTTTTTTAAGTATGTACATGCGCTTATATTGAATGTATGTGCTAGAGTTTGAGTGCCAATGATCTTACAAAATTTTACGTGCTATTTATTCTTGCTGATACTAGAAGTAGCTAGGACGCGGCAAGTGGTATTCATGCATTAGCATTCCGTCGTATGTATATACAATATCGCTCTGATAGCAATTTTTACCTGTAAGGAATGAGGGCGCATAGAAAAAAACTTCGCAGCGTCGTCTTGGTGCGTTGCACTGTAGTACCAATGCGACGAAAACGAAGACGGTGGCGTGCCGCAGCCGTATCCACCCACATGACTCTACCTTCAAGTACTACACCTACTAAATTGCACTGTAGTATCTATCCTTCACGTCTGAGCTTCTTGGGTTTTGACGGAGTGGAAGCACGGAGCACGCTTCAAGGACTCTGCGACGGCCCATTATTATTTGGGCGAGAGGGCAGAGAGGGGCATCACGAGTATGAGGAGTCCAGGGCATGAGTGATCCATAGACATGCTCTTCTGTTTGCCACAAAAAAATGCTATGCTTGCCTAGTCGGACACAAAATTTCGTGCAATACAATCCTTGGGCTTTAATTGATGCCTTATCAATTGTGGCAACCTCGCCGTCGAGGGCAACTGCCCAATGATATCATACGATCCTCCAACCGTCACAGGCGAGGCACTTGGGAGGTCAAAGGTCATGGGTTAATAAACCACAATGGGGATTTATAGTTTTAATTTGTCGGCAACAAGGAGTGCTTGACAACTCACACGCCGTGGTGTGTCTCGCGTGCGCGCAAGGCTGCTTTGAGAGCTCCGATTGCAGAATCCTCTCCTGCTTTGACCCCTGCCGCTTGTCCAATACTGTATCCAGCACCCAGAGGCATTGTGAATTACCAGCGAACATATAGGGACGGCAATTCAGTGCATAAGTATGTGGCTGCATTGAAAAGCGGGGCGAACGTAGAGACGCGGCGATATATCGCATTCATATGCGGCTGCATTACAGAGCGGGAGACACGAACGCTCTTGCCATGCTCACTTTTTTTCCCCTTCAAATATCGTCGCCTTTCCACAGCAGGGTGATTGAGGCATGGAGACGACTGCCATTCCGCTGACACGAACAGCGGCCCGTGTTCTTTGCCCTTTGTGTGGTTTGTCCATGGAAAGTAATGCTGCCAACCGCTGCGGAAATTGCGTGCGAAATGAGATCGATTTGCAAGGGGAAATCAAGCCCTCCCGTCCTTTGATCCAATGCAAGCAATGCTTTCACTGGCAGGCCAAATCGAAACATTGGGTGGCGGCTGAACTTGAGTCCCGCGAACTACTGGCATTGGTGCTCAAGTTTGTCCCGGGCCTTCACAAAGGTGGAAGTGGGCCGAGGGGTGGAGACGGACCTATGGAGGTGGTGGAGGCAGGATGGATTTGGACGGAGCCGCACTCGAAACGGTTGAAGTTGAAGTTGACGGTTCGAAAAGAGGTACTGAACGGCGTGATGGTGCAGCAAAGGGTGCAAGCCGAGTTTGTCGTGCGGACCATACAGGTGAAGGGGAGGGGAGAGAGGTCAAAGGGAAAGGAAGCGCGCGTGGACTCATCGCCGTCGATGGCATGTTCTGGATATTCTTCGTGCCTCGAGAACCCCAAACCTGTCTTATTCCTCCATAATCCTCCCTTTTCCCTCCCCATTCCACCCCAGTGCGACGCCTGCGCCCTGTCCTACACGGAGCAGGCCTGGAAGGCCGTGTGTCAGCTTCGACAGCGGGTTACCCACAAACGGACTTTTTTTTTCCTGGAACAGCTCCTTCTCGCCCGGAAGATGGAGAGCAAGATCTTGGACATGGAGCTGACCCGCCACGGGATGGACCTATACTTTGGAGACAAGAATACAGCCCTGCAATTTTTGGCCTTCCTTCAAACCGCCGTCCCCATGCGGAGTAAAACTACCCGGAAGTTGATCGCCGAAGACCGGCAGAACAACGTCCACCGTTCCCAATGGTCCATGTCCGTTGATATC